AGTAAACAACACACACACACACACACACACACACACGTTCACGTACACATACACACATGTTTTTTTTCATGATTTTAATAAAGCGATTACTTCTAACAATTAGTAAAGATGGAATGCGCTTACGTTCCACTGTGTCTCTAAATGTATAGTATAAACAGAATTATATTTATTATATATTACATATAAAATTGTTAGTTTAAATAAAAATAAGATAATTAACGATGAAAATTTTCACGAGGACGAGGGTAAGGAAAACATGTCGTCCTTATGAAAAATAGATAAATTAATTCAAACGGCCAGGAATTCGCGAAATATATCGCGAGTAAATTTTTCGGAGAGCTGTATTCCCCTTCTCCCCTGAAGTTAGAATTAAGTGTTCATCGCACAAACTTGTAAATACGTAGTGATTAATTACATCGATGTAACCTTGTAAGAATTAATTTGATAGATTAATTCGGTGTAATACACTGAATGTGTCAGATTTGGCGGTTTATTTCTTATCTATGGATTCTTTGATTTGACCCAAACTGGAGTCGGTCTTTCTTTTATGAAAAACGAAAATCAAATTTGGAAAACGTTGCTATTTTTTTTAAAGTAAATTTTAATGCAACAGATTTGTAATTTGAAGACGAGTTACAAATATATTCGTTAAAAATTTACGCGAGAAATAATCATCTCATAATTTTAATTAAAGAAAAATTGATTTCGTTGACCGAAGAATCTGTAGATGAACATTATTTAGTTAGATCGGAAACATTCTTACGGGGGTTTATAAACGTGGAAACATCTTTGACGAAGTCGTTCTTTGAGTTCTCTCAACACTTTTGTGGTATTTCGTAGTATTGAGATTTGTACTTGTACTTTTTTGGAAAGCATGGATGTCGAATGTATTACGATGTTGATGAAGAAGCAATTCACTCTCTTTCGTTCTTTCATATACCTTCTTTCAATACGAATAAACGTCCCTTCAAACGAATACCGAAGTCCCGTTACGTTTTCTCTCCCCCTTTTCTTCTTTTTCTTATTTTATTTTAAATTCTATTCTCCTGGTATCATTCTCGTTGCATGTACATAAATCATAAATTATACAGTTGCGACTACTTGAAGATATTGTTATAATGTTTCAGACATATGTAAGATCTGTATACGCAAGATACATCTGTTTTAATTGTATAATAATTATTTTGTGATACTATTCGTGTATATTTACATTTACCATTATTAGTCGTATACTGTTGTTATATCATTATTATTAATGTACTATTGATGTGTTATTATATTAGAGAATGCTACTGCTGTTACACAAACGCACACATACATACACACACATACAACATACAAGAAATACACACATACTGTTGCTATTCTCCAACCCATCACGATTCGCGAATACATCTTTACAATTATTACTTAACATAATTGAGATGTTAACGATTTTTCAATGTACTATTATGTTTACGAACAATGTACTTCTGTAATTCGATACTTTTAAGGATACGATTATATATGCATATATATATATATATATACATTATATACAAATACGTGATACTATACATTTTGTAACATTTTCTATTTGCAACGCCTATTTCTGTAGAAA